TTTTTATACTAAATTTTTCAAAAATGATATTTTTATTATACTTTTAAAATTATATATGTCTAAAACATATATTATTGACAAATCCATATATTTGATTCCAATTTTAAAAAAAAAAACTAATTTTATTGTGTTGTGATTATATTTTTTTATATCTATAGAGTCGGTATCACTCATTTATTATTTTTCAACTATTTTAAAAGTTATATAATTTATAATTTAGAACATTATTTTACGCATAAATGTATTATTTTCTAAATTATGAAATGTAAAATTATTTTATTATACTTAATTATGATATTCCTTTATATTTATTATTTTAGAAAACATAACAACGTTCAGTTTCTCATGCCATCTATTTAAATCGAGAAATAATTTATAATTATTTATATAATACTTAATTTTTGTAGTTTACAAAAATTATATGAAAAATTCATTAGATTAATTATTTATTACTGTATTGATAAATGGTAATTTTACTATTTTTTTTAAAATAATTTATATTGATATTCATTGTTTAAATTTATTTATTATAAAATTAGTTTCATATATAAAGATAGATGAATTTATTTTTTATTTTATATATGCAATATGGATATAAAATTGAAAATTATTAAAATATAATTATTTTGATATATCTTATATAAAAATTTGAAATACAAATAAAAACGTTATATAGTTAAAAAAAAAAAGAATACTAATTTATGTTAGTTAATATATGTATTAAATAAGAAAATGTAAGAGTAATATATGGTAAATTAAAGAAAAAAAAGAAGCTAAAATAGTTTATGGATTGGTCGAAACCAATGTTTTAAAACGCGCGTATAGCGTAAGGCGCCGCGTTTTGGTTTTTATATTGCGTTGCGTAAATAGCATTGCGTGTTGCGTAAGTTATTTGAGTATAATTTTTTTAATAGAAATATTAAAAGTATATATGCATATAATAAAAATGAATGGTTGATACAAAAATTATCATAGTATTTGAATGACTTCAAAAATAACATCTAATGATTAATTCTCACAAATATTTAATGTAAATATCATCATAATATAAATATTTAATAATAAATCGAATATACTAAAAAATAAATACAAACAACGAAAATATAATGAGGTAAGTCATAATATAATTTTAAGTATATGCATTTTAATTATTATTTTTTATTTAACTACAACTTAATTCTAACCATTAGATATGAAATTTTTATTTTTTTATTTAAATGTCAAATATCGAAAAATGAAACGATATAACAAAAATGGACCAAAAAAATATTGCACTATTCAACTTAGGACTTTGCATTTTTAACTTTTAATCTAAAATCATTATCAAATTTTTAATTTTAATTGTCATTTGTAAAAATGATTGTGATCCCTACAAAATACGACATTTTGAATAATTTATTGCTCAAATGTCGTTGCAAAAATATAGCGCAATGTAGCGCACAACAGCATGAAATAACACAAAATAACGTAAGAAAGCGTGTCGTTTCAACATTTCGCATAAGCTTTTATGGAAAAACGCTAAATATGTAAGGCTACGTTGCGTTTTTTCGAAAAAAAAGTTATATAGCGAGCTATTTAAAACAATGGTCAAAACTAAAAGCGGAACTTCTCTGAAACTTCCCGTAAGCTTTCTTCCAGACTCTTCAAACTCTAAAAATTGCCCGTCGCCTTCCCCGGTAGGGCGTGTCGAGAGCTCGGCGGTGGCTCTTCTGGGCCCTGTTGCTCGCAATGAAGAGAAGAGCAGCTGGAAGGAGTTTTTTCGCCGGGAAGTAGCTGGTGCCGTCCTTCGGTCTCTAGCCTCTGGTTCCGAGCTTGAGTGGCAGATGTCTGGCTCTCCTCCGGTATCTCCGCTGTGGCGGCTTCCAGCGCTCTCTTGGAGTGAGCGACGATCCCAATTTCCCGATTTAGGGTTTGGGGTGGGGTTAGGATTCCGGCCAATTGGCCTCTCATGGTCCTGGTTCAGAGCTTGGTTGTCAGCGATTGAAGGGTGGGTGTTGATTCTTGGCCTCGTGGTCGCCGTCCGGGTGGGTGTGGAGCTTTGGAGTCGCGGTCGCCGAAGATCGTTTGGCGTGGCTTGTGTGCTGGCTGGGCGGGTCTTGTTTTGGATGGGCCAAGCTTCTTCTGGCTGGTGTTGGGCTGGTTGGAGTTGCTTTGGGTTGGGCCGAGCTGGGCCGGGCTGGGCTGGGCCGAGTGGGCTGTTGGCATGGTGTCATTTCTCCGGGTGCGGGTGGAGTTGTCCGTCTGGATGAAGGTTAAGTCCGTCGGCTCTTGATTCAGTTAGGCGTTCTCTTGCAGTTTCTGGGTCAGGATCCTGGACCGATACTTTGCCGTTGTTGTGCTCGATGTGGTTTCTGCTGTGGGAAGGGCTCCCGTTTTATTTTGTTAAGTTGTTGCTTGTGTCTGTTTAGTTAAGTGTTTTTGGTCTGGCTTTTTGCCTGAGTCTATTTGTGATTTTTGGTCTTGTTTTTTAGGTTTGGGCCGTTGGCCCCGGTTCTGATTCCCCTGTGGGGGGCGTTTCTATTCTCCTGTGGGGAGCGTTCGTAGTTGATGTGTTGGTGTCTTTTAGTTGTGTGTTGTGTGTTTTATATTCTAGTGTGGCTAGCGAGGCTCTAGGCGGTTCGATCCGTCCTCTCAGTTTTTAGTTCTTGGTTGTATTATTCAGCCTTGGGCTGCCTTTTTTGCACAGTTGTGCGTTTTGATATATAATACCTCTATCATTTCGAAAAAAAAAAACCTATACATTTGTTAATACGAAGAACAAATTTATGTCAAAGGCGGTGGCAGCGTATGCGAAGGCCGGGGCTGCAGTCCATGCACTTTGCCTAATCAAGTGGCACCCACCGGAGTTGGGCTGGGTTAAAGTTAACACAGATGGAGCCTTCAGTCGTACCACGGGCTTATGTAGCGCGGGTGGTATTATTCGAAACGAGGTTGGGCAATGGCTAGGTGGATTTGTTATGAACATAGGATTTGGTTCTATTACCGGAGCCGAATTATGGGGATTGTTTCAGGGTCTTCAGCTAGCCTGGGAGATGGGATACCGAAAAGTAGTCGCTGAAGTTGACAGCCAATGTGTGGTACAAATGGTGCTTGGGCCCAAAGACCACTTTGGAGTACACGAGTCTCTTGTTCGATCCATTCGAAGTCTAGCAGATAAAGCATGGAGTGTTCGTATCCAACATGTCCATAGGGAAACCAATTTTGCGGTTGATCATTTGGCAAGCTTAGCGGCTTCCCATCCGTTGGGATTCCAGAGAGTTCCGTCACCACCTCAAGGCCTAGATGCGTGGATTGATTATGATTATCGTGGGGTAACTCACCCGCGTCGAGTTCTAGTGTCGTAATTCCTCGGCCTTTGGCCTCCGTCTTTGTACCAAAAAAAAAATACAAATACGAAACATACAAGTATGTCACTTAACCTCAACACGTTCGAAAATGATAGAGAAGAGTGATTAGTTAATAGTACGTTGCCAAACATCCAATTTGGCAATTTGCCTTTCCGTAAACATTAAATTATTACAAAGTTTTTTCGGGTCTTCTTTATTGGCGACATCGCTGCCACGAGGTAAATGCTCGTCATGATTTGGTACCTAACTATGTAAAATAATAACATTAATAACAAACTAAAAAATGGAATTTAAAAAAAAATAAAAAATCATGTATCATTATTTGCTATCGTTATTAATATTTTTTTTTTTTAAAAAAAATGTATCACATCTTCAATCATATACTCCAAATTTTTATAATTTAATTTTAGCGACATGTAATTATGACATGTCATGAATAATATTTTATTATTTTTCCGTCACATTAATTTTACAATAACATTATATTTAACAAAAAGTAAAAAAATATTATTCACCTACTCACATAAATTATAAAATCCTTTACTATCTATTATATTTTACTTTTGTGTATTAGGCAAGATTTATTAATATGTTTTATCATGTATTCATCATTCTCCTATTGTCTTTCCATTTTTTTGCTACTTGTTTGTTTCAATAAACCTTTTTTCCCCCAAATCTTCTACATCCTATGGCTCCTCAGGGGTTAGGTGGAATTGTATATATATAAAAAAATGGGAAATAGTACGGTTCCGTCACGGAACTATTCCGTCGAGATCTGTAATCGTTAGCTCAACTATCTCCGAAGATCACATGATGATCTAACGATTACAATACCGACAGGATGATTCCGTAACGGGACTGTAGCATCTCCCAAAAAAATACTCATTCAGGTCAATTAATCTATATCCAGTCTCATTATTACATTTTAAAGAAATAAAAAATAATTACTAATATATATTTTCTGAAAAAATGTCCACTCATTCACATATTTCTATTTATCACTCATCATCAATTAATCTTTTACTACTATTATATCGCATTAAATTTAATTATTATACTTTTATGTAACAATTATTTATAATATTAAATTTATCTTTACTTTTAAAATATGTTTTTTTTTAACCTTTCTATGTTTATTTTTGATAGAGATAGTTTATTATTAATAAAAAAATTACAAAGTGGAACTAGATATGGCGAAAACTGATTCCGAGTCAAGGGTCGGACGATCCTGAACCGGTCTGAACATATGCACGGACCAATTCAATGAATCGACAGTTTCGAGCCGGCTTGATTCACGAAAAATATAAAAAATATCGAAAATAGGACCGTGCTGCCGATTTTGATTCATAACCGACCGACATTTCAAATCGTACATATATACAGCCCCGAACTTAAAACTACGAGCTCGTTTCAAAGCCCGTTGACTACGGGCCGGCTCGTCGTGCCTAACTAAACCTAACAACTCAATTGAGCCCACATAAATGTCTCATCCTATATCCATTTGCCAATCAAAGTGAAGGCCACCATCCGATCTACCTAACTTCCCCACCACACATCTTCCCTTTGCCTCTCTTCCAAGCCTTCAATCTCCCTACCGATACATACATACACACATACATATATATATATACACACACCATACACATGAACAAAATGGACCAAACACCAACTGCCAAGTGCCACGCGACTTCCCTCGTATGAATTCTTGATCTGCCAAATCAATAAAATAAAATATATGGTATAATTTTTTAATTTTTTCCCCCATTTACAGCCCACCTTCTCTTAACAGCCATCAATCTACACTTAATTCTCGTATATATATATATTCTCTTGTTGCCTTCCACAACACAATACTGATTCTTCTTCAGGTGGACTGTTAAATTTGTCGGAAAAGGTAGCTGCATTTTGTTTAATTTTTTACATTTTTTTTTGGGTTCTGTTTCTTTTGTGATTAGGGGTTTGAATTTGGCTGAGCTTTGATTAATTTCCTGGTTATGTGTAAATTGGATGGAATTCTGATGATCAGATCCATGATTTCTGTGTCGATCCATGATTTCTTTAGCTTTTGTTATGGGGAAAAGATGCTTGAATTATCAGATCCTTGTTGGATTTGATTTATATTGTTGTTGATGTTTACGAGGAAGAATGTCCTCCTCGTCAGACACACACACACACACACACACACACACACACACACACACGTATCATATATATACTTGGGTTTAATAAGCGGATCTCTCTGCTTTTGCTGGAACTTCAGTTGACCTATGATATGGTGTTATTTTTATGAAATTTTAATATGTGCATTTTTATGTTTTTAAGCTTGTAACTTATAAGTTTAGATCTGTTGGTGATGGGTGGGGTGGGTTATGCATTTGAATCATTGATGTAGTTGATGTTATTTTGGTTGTTTGTTACTTTGTTTACGTTACAAGAACCCGTGTTTGCGATCTGAGTGCTGATCTAAGTCGTGTGTCCAAACTGCATTTTCGTTAAAAAATGAAGCTTGCGTTTACGTTGATCTAAGTTGTGTGTCCAAACTGCTTTTTCATTAAAAAATGAAGCTTGCGTTTACGTTATTTCTTGCATAAAGATTTGAGTGCATATGTTATGAGGCTACTTGAGAAGGATATTTTGCCAACATGCATCGGAGACCGTTGTTTTATTGGGAATTCAATTGTAGATCCTGCATTTTCCGCTTCTTGTTGGGAGTACATGTTATTTTAGTATGTACACTTGTATAGGTACTGTAATGTCCTCGGCTCACATTATGAGGGGATAAACATTCTTATAGATATTTGACTGTTGTGGAATATTTTTGCTGATGTTTTCTTTACAAACAGGAGATATTTCGGAGAAAGCCATGGCGACTGGACAATTGTTCTCCAAAACCACTCAAGCACTATTTTACAATTACAAGCAACTACCCATCCAGCGGATGCTTGATTTTGATTTTCTTTCCGGTGAGTACAAACTTCAGTCTGGAATTTATAGTATTTGTGGGATTATTTCTCGTCATAACTACAAGAAATCACATTTGTAGCAGATAACTATTTTTTTTTTGTAAAACATTTTTCGTCCTATTTTTGATATTGCAGGTAGAGACACACCTTCTGTTGCTGGAATCATAAATCCTGGCTCTGAGGGGTTTCAGAAACTATTCTTTGGCCAGGAGGAAATAGCCATCCCAGTCCATTCCACGTGAGTTTCTTACGTTCTCTTAGTTTTTCCCCTTACGCACCTCAACTTTTATGTTGAAGAGGCCCAAGATTCTTCTTCTGATGCATTGATCTACTGGTTTTATGTTTATCAGATTGGCCCACACGAATAATAACTTACATGTCATCTTTTGATGAATTTAATTCTCGCAGAACGTTTTATTTATCAACTATTGTGCATTCATGAATGATTAGAATTTCAAACAATATGAGTGATGTTGACTTTTGCCCCTTAATGCAGAATTGAAGCGGCTTGTGCTGCACATCCTACCGCTGATGTTTTCATAAACTTTGCATCATTCAGAAGGTTTGTCTTGTCAAATTATATACATATCATATTATGTTGACTCGTTTCTTCTAGACTACTAATTGTTGTTCATTTTGCAGTGCTGCTGCATCATCTATGGCCGCTCTCAAGCAACCAACTATTAAGGTTGCAGCTATCATAGCTGAAGGTGTACCTGAATCAGACACCAAACAGTTGATTGCTTATGCAAAAGCAAACAATAAGGTAACTATTTTTTGTTTTTGTCTTTTTGAGTCACCATTTCAACTCTTCCATACAGTATTTAGTTTTTCACAAGATTTATGTGAGAGATGATATATTAAAAAATGGGCTTGTTTAGGTTGTCATTGGACCCGCTACTGTGGGTGGTATTCAAGCTGGAGCATTTAAGATTGGAGATACTGCTGGAACGATTGATAATATTATTCAGTGCAAGTTATACAGGCCTGGATCTGTTGGCTTCGTCTCCAAATCTGTGAGTAATCATACTTTTTAACTGGACAAAATGTAACGTTTTATACCTTATTATATATTGTGAGATTCAGTTAACTCATGTATTATGTTGAAATGACAGGGTGGTATGTCGAATGAACTATACAGTTCGATTGCTCGTGTCACAGATGGAATTTATGAAGGTCTGATATTTATATATGGATCCTAGTCTGACCTTATTTTTACCATCTTTGTGATGTCGGGAATAAGAGTGGTGTTCGTCATAATTTGTTTAGGCATTGCAATTGGAGGAGATGTATTTCCTGGGTCTACACTTTCTGACCATGTCCTGCGGTTTAACAATATCCCTCAGGTACATCATTTTATGGTGTAGAAGTTGTTAAGGTTCTCTCTTATAGTTAGACCCAATGTACTGTTAATCCATCTCGGAAAGTTACAGTTAGAACCAATTTTATGAATTGAAAATGTCTCAATAGTCTGGAAAACTGTCATTTCCGCTGTTACTTGTAATGACCTACCTGGTTCGTATTCATGTTTTTCCGTTGTAGACCATTTGACTTGATTTTTGCTACTTAGCATTTCAGAAAGCAAGCTGTTGCTTTGGTTAGAGTAAGATTGGCTCTTTTATAGTCTGTTGAGTTGATCCTTACTTGGTGGTTAAAACAGATTAAGATGATTGTCGTTCTTGGAGAACTTGGTGGACGTGATGAATATTCCCTAGTTGAGGCCCTAAAAGCAGGGAAGATCAACAAGCCTGTGGTTGCCTGGGTCAGTGGAACTTGTGCTAAGCTCTTCAAATCGGAGGTCCAGTTTGGTCACGCGGTAATCTAACAGTCCCGCCCTTTCCATGTTTTCTGTCATACTATTTTACAATAATTCCATGCTTTTTTGCACTTTACTGATCATAATGTTATGATTATTTATTCATCAGGGGGCCAAGAGTGGTGGTGAGTTGGAATCTGCTCAGGCCAAAAATCAAGCACTTAAGGATGCTGGTGCTGTTGTTCCAACTTCTTATGAAGCATTTGAAGGTGCAATCAAAGAAACATTCGAGAAACTGGTAGAGCTACTGTCTGAAATTTAAAAAGGATTCTCAAATACTATTGTTCTTTTCTCTTCCTGATGGCTAAAGCGCTTAGTTTTTTTCTATTAGGCCGAGGAAGGTAAAATCTCACCCGTGAAGGAGGTCAAACCTCCTCAAATACCAGAAGATCTTAACTCGGCTATAAAGAGCGGGAAAGTTCGGGCTCCAACGCACATTATTTCCACAATCTCTGATGATAGAGGTACAAATTGTGTAATCCCTGTTGTCAAGATTCTCTATAGTATAGCAATATATATCTCTACATGCTTTAACTTGACTTGTATCTTCTGGCAGGTGAAGAGCCAACATATGCTGGTGTACCAATGTCCTCCATTGTTGAACAGGGATTAGGAGTTGGCGATGTCATTTCTTTGTTGTGGTTTAAGCGGAGCCTTCCTCATTATTGCACACGTTTTATAGAGGTGATTTTTGGATATCGAGAAACCCATTCCTCCCTTACCAACACCTATGTTTTTACTGGATTGCCATTTTAAATGCCCTGGAAGGATTTTTGGCTGTATAAGCTCTCAAAACGTTTTGATTCTTTATTTTAATTAGTTTGCAAAATAAGTCTTAGGAGCTTAGACTATTTATGACCCTATTTACTCTGAAATGAGATTTTATTTGAACCTCTTGTAATTTTGACATTTAAATGGACATTTAAACGTCTGTCATTGTATTTTTATCTGCGGAGTTCAACAAGTTGTTTCAAGATAAATCTAGCATCTTTTCAGATGCAGGAGTTTAATATTTTTGCAAATAAGCTTTGCAAAGACCAACCTTTTCTGAACTGGGTCCATTTCCATATTAATTTGCTGTTTGGACTTGAACCATCTATTCTTAATACTGTCATTGTCTTGCCAGATTTGTGTAATGTTGTGTGCCGATCATGGTCCCTGTGTCTCTGGTGCCCACAACACGATTGTGACTGCTAGAGCTGGAAAAGACCTGGTCTCCAGTCTTGTTTCAGGTAGACTGCAGGGAAAAAAAGATCAAATTTTAGTTTAACACACAAATCAAAATCCTAAAAGGTAGCTTCTGACTCATTGAGCTGAGTAACATGACTCTATTCCTTGCAAAATAGGTTTGCTGACAATTGGCCCTAGATTTGGCGGGGCTATTGACGATGCCGCTCGATACTTCAAAGATGCTTTTGATAGGGTGAGTTTCTGTGATTTTTTGACCACTCACAGTGTCTTCGAATTTAGTTTCTCCTTCCATTGAAATTTGAGTAAGGATTAATCCTGTTTGTGTTTTTCTCAGGGTCTTACCCCTTATGAGTTTGTGGAAGGCATGAAAAAGAAGGGCATTCGTGTTCCTGGTATTGGGCACAGGTAATAAACTACTCAACATCTTCCTTGGTTCTTTTGTTGCACGTAAAAAATAATAGTAATCATACATTTATTATGTTTAAGTTAAATTTTCCATCAAATCTTGACAATGCCATTTCATTTCTCTCCAAAAAGAATCAAGAATGCTGACAACCGAGACAAGAGGGTGGAGTTGCTACAGCGTTTTGCACGGGCTAATTTCCCATCCGTCAAGTACATGGAGTATGCTGTTACAGTAGAAACCTATACCCTGTCAAAAGCAAACAACCTCGTACTAAATGTTGATGGTGCTATCGGGTCCTTGTTCCTGGACCTTCTTGCTGGTAGTGGCATGTTCACCAAGCAAGAAATCGATGAGATTGTTGGGATTGGCTATCTCAACGGTCTCTTTGTTCTTGCTCGTTCCATTGGTCTCATCGGGTAAGTTCGATTTCTCCAATGTTTACACGATTTCCATGTTTTGAGATTATCATGAGGCTTTGTTATTAAAAAAAAAAAACAGCACAAACATCTAGGTTCTCTTGTAATGAGCTCAAAAGATAATGTGTTCTATTGCTCTTGGAATTGCCCCTTATTTACCAACACTTAGCATAGTAATTGAAATTTTAAAAAAAGTACAGTTCTTTTCATTTTCTTTTTAAAATTTTTTAGTAACTAGATTGAATACTGTAAGCCCTTTCATGCTAAATTTCCCAAATTTTAGGCACACGTTCGACCAGAAGAGACTGAAGCAGCCGCTTTACCGCCACCCGTGGGAAGATGTTCTTTATACCAAGTGAGAGAGGCAAAGATGGCCGCATACATCCGGGCTATGTGGCATTATTCAAGGCTTTTTCTTCTTTGATTATTTGTCATGTCGTTTCAGTTATTTTGGTATTTGTTGTGTTGCTGAAAAACATTTCAATTGTTTCTGTAATTTTTAACTGTAGAGAACTCTGTTCGGAAATTGCCAGTCGTGAATTCTTGTTCGTGATGTAGTCTTGAGAGGGAAAAAAAAAAAGGATTATAAGAATAAAAAAATCCATTGATTGAGAATTTGAAAATACAACTCTTAGGTTACGGGATTTTGTTATATCATTACGTAGTTGGAAATGTCATCACTGTTAATTTTTTTTTTATTTTATTTTTATATTTCGCAACACCAATCACAATTGATACTAGGAATTGGAAGTGCAGGCATTGTTTATTTGTTAGTGTGTGTTTTCATTGTACGTAAAAAGACTGTTGTGTAGGATACTTGTAACCGTTTGGTGCATTACAACACAAGAACAGCTCGAAAAAAAGACAAAATGAAAAACATTGGTAAATCGATAGGAATAGATCAAAGAAACGTTATCCAAAAATACTGTCGATAAAACGGCCCAAGTAATCATACGACGAACCTCCTCTCGACATGGCAACCCGACTCGTGTCGCGCAAAGCCCTCACCTTAGCCCGCCGGACCGCATTCTCCGGGCCCATCAGCTCCCTCACGGCCCTCTCTATCCTCTCGGCCGGCACAATCTCACTGCAGCTAATCTTGTTGTATTCCATCTTGACCTGGACCGCAATCCCAGGCTCCCTCACCAGCTGGAACGCGTTCGCCTGCTGCTCGGCAGCCAGTGGCCACGCGGCTATCGGCACGCCTCCCCGCACACTCTCGAGCACTGAGTTCCACCCGCAGTGCGACACGAAACCCCCGACCGCCTGGTGGGCCAGCACCGCCAACTGTGGGGCCCACCCGATCACCTTCCCGACCCCCGAAGTCCGTTCCAAGAAACCTTCCGGAAGGACCTCCCCCGGATCTTCGTACTCTCCCGGAAACTCCAGTGTCCCTCCAGCAGGCGGCGGCTTCCTCAACGACCAAACAAACCTTTGCCCGCTTTTCTCGAGCCCCTCCGCGATTTCCTTCGCCTGCCCTGCTTCGAAGCAGTGGATGCTGCCGAAGCATACAAACACAACCGACGAGTCGGGCTGCTCGTCCAGCCACTTGAAAACGTCTTCGTAACCGCCTTTTTTGACCACCGGCTGGATGATTGGGCCCACAGGGTAAACGTGCGGTATATTCCCGTGGCCCGAGAGGGCCCGGATCGCGTGCGGCTCGAACTCGAGGAACGTGTTCACCACGATTCCCTTAGTTCCCCTGAACTTCTTCGTGGTGCCCAAGAAGTCTCTGTCCTTGTCGAACACCAACGACGGCCACACCTTGGCGGGAACAGAGTTGGCGTAGCTCGGAAGCGAAATCTCAAACTCCGAGTTCTCGTACTCTGCCAGGTCCTTATCCTGTCCGTCTCGAAATTCCTGAAGCCCAAAAAAGAGCCCGAGGGTCGAGGCACTGCACGTGAAGAAGATGTAGGATGGGAGGCCGAGCTCGTCGGCTATGTCGATCATGGCCGTGCAGAACATGTCGACCACGAAGCCCACGATACGGACCGACTTAGGTATACTCTTGACGACGTCCCTGACCGGGCCTTTCTGGCTGTTGATGTAGTGTACTGTGAGGGAGCTCGGGGTCTTGCCCCATTTGACGAAGCTCTGCTCATCCGGTGGAAGCTCCACGAACCTTATCCTAGGGTGGCGGTCGTCGGGGGAGGAGCCGTGGGAGTTTATTTTGGTGTCGATGGGGAGCTTCATGACGATGATGGTGACCGAGAGGCGTGGGTCCCGCTCCACGAGGAGGCCGGCGGTTTGCACGGCGGCGGCCTGGTGGCTGAGTATGGGCAGAGGGATGAAGACCAGGTTTGCTGATTCTTGTTCACTTGACATATTTTTATTTTTATTTTTTTGCTAACAAGAAAGTGTTTCAACAGATACAATTAGGCTCATGAGTTGGTTGAAGATTAGGCATCTTTTATCTTTAATGAGAAGGTTAATTCAATTATTGGTGTATATGATGAAAGTGCCAAGACAGTCACTTTTCGAGCCAGTGGAGGTTAAGATTGAAAAGTGATTTTGCTCTATTGGTTCTTGTCATTGTCATAATGTGTTATCCTGTTTACTTGTTTTTCCCAACTCAAGTGTGATTGGAGGAAAGTGGAGCAATGTGAATCAGCACACAAACTGACCTATGTGTAATTCAAAAATTAAATTGGATCCCTAAAAACCAGAAATGAACAAGCATTTATCGAATAAATACTATTGTTTTCGGCTGGAACCGTTAATGTTCTCGACTGCTATTGAAAGTTCTAGGTCGTCAAATAATAGGTATAACCACCGAAAGACTTTTTTCTAGAGTTCTTTTATTCTAGTAGATTTGATGAGATTTTTTTGATATTTTTCAAGAAGGATACGAGAAATTCGATTCATTCCAAATTTTTCTACGGATTTGTCTACCAGAAGTTTTTTTCGGATTTTGTTATATATTCTATTTTGTTCATTTTGACTTTTTTTTTTTTTGATTTGTAGATTGTTTTCCGAGATGATCCACTCAGGAAAGGATCATATTTTTTTGCAAAGTATTCTTTTCTATAATGGTTTTTACATCACTGAGTCCTTGTTTTGAGTACATTCAAATGTCTAGATTTTTTGTCTAGACCTTTAATTCGATATAGCAAATCGTCGTGAAATCCTTCCTTTTTAGATGATACCGCCAAGGGTTGTAGGGTGAAGCTTTTTTGCCCGA